CATTTACTCAATATTGATAATTCAAATATATGCAGAAAATATTGATAGATCATAATGTGTTTATACATTGATAACACTTGGGGCCAATTAAACCGATGCCAAAACAAGTACAGCGGTACATTTTCCAAGAATTCTTTCCTACCCATTCTATTGTTCGAAGTCAGAGCGCGTGTAATGACAAAGATCGATGGGGAGGACATATTCCACATACGATCACCGTTATGCTAATGAACGGGGTTAAACAATTACTATAATGCCTTGAACCAAAGAAAACGCTTTTTGTAGTGGGATAATAATGGAAATATTGAAACTGTTTTTAAAGAAACAAAGAAACGTCTTGTGGGTACGTGAAACTTGAGCCGTGAAATTTTCATGGTAACTCATTGGGTTGTTCGCTCAAATTGCAAAAAAGTGAATACACGGAAGATAGGCTCCATAAAAATTAAAATTAGAAATTAATTTGCTATCAACTGTCTTTAAACACTAATTAAAAACAAAGTTTAAAAACAGTGATGCTTTTGTTTTGGTATTTAAACAAACGGCTTACACACACAACAAATTTAGTTTTGATCATGAAACGGGGAGTACCCATCTTATTTATATATTATATCCGCCATGGACATAGACTGCTAAGATTTAGGAACAGAAATAAACATTTTGTAATGTTGTATTTGATATTAAAATAATGAAAATGTTATTGTAAATATAAGCAAATTATAATTTTGTGTAAATGCAAAATTGAATAGATTTCGTTAAAAAAAACTTTTTATTTTAAAAACCGTGTAAGATCGAAAACGTGTAAACAAGAGATAGTGTAGTGTATATGGCAGTGCTATATTTTTAATTACAATATGAACATCCACTTATAATCGAAAGAAATATAAGTACATAAATGTGTATTGAAAGCTTTATAGTACCTATTGTAATTTTATATGGTATGGTGGAACTTCTAATTGTAATTTTACATGGTATGGTGAAATTCCGAACTAGTTCTATATGAAAAAATATTCATATTTTTTCCGTCCGAATTTATTCGTGCCTTATCTAAAATGCCTCGTAGTCATTTAGTAAATTTGATAATGACTTAATAAGGAATTGAAAATAATCATGGTATATTAAGTTCCTTAAGCATTTTAAATATGCATTCCTGTACCTCATATACATAGATAAAAACCAAGAATCTATTATGTTATTAATACTTATTATGCTTTACAGAAATAAATTATCATACCATTAAAAATTTAAAAATTATTTTGAAAATACCAAAATTCTGTAAAAAAAATGTAAGCAGCCGTTTCCTCGTCAAAGCACCTGCATTTTAACATTAACTGATCATTAAAAAATCGAAATACTGAATTATCAGTATTGTTTATTAAGTTACTAATACCAGTGTATATTGAATGTAACTACTTTATATTTTTGGCAAAATATAAAATAGCGTAAGCTGTAAATTGATTGAAAGAGACCAGATGCCGAAGCGATGTTTCCGCGAAAAACCGCTACATCAATCAAAGCATGCGATACGTGGAACGGATTTATGAACTAATGAAATTGTGTACAAACGAATACAAAAATTGTTTTGATAAAATGACAACAAAATAAATATGTACAACTAGAAAAAATAATCAAGCTTTGAGTAAAATCATATTGCGACTAAATAATAATAATGTAATTCTAAGAACAACCAATGATTATTCCAAGATTTTTGAGAAAACAAAAATACTGCGAATGTTGCGGTAAATTAATTTCAACACTTCAAAAAACGGATATTAAATTTGGTTCAAAATTCATTTCACTATATTTGAAATATGTATTACTGGGTATGGAGGTCATAAACTAAATCAACACCTTGTGCGATAAGCGATTCATTTATCGATAAACCGTAGAAATTATGTTTTTTTATTGTTTATATAGCCTGATTTCCTGAAAATATTTTGGTGAAAATTTTCGGTACTATATTACTCAATATTATAGATGTAGAATATGATTTCCAGAAAATAACCTTAGGGGACTGGTAGAAAAATATCTAATAATAATCTTATTACAAAGAGAAAGGACAACCACTGGATTGCCTTTTAATAATGATCAGTTATAAGAAAATATGCCGCAACATCTCATAGGACACACAAAATTCTGATTGCTGTTTATCAAATAACAATTAACAAATATTACCAATTACGTTACTATATTGCTTAACATTATATTTCTATAATATGATTTCAAGTGGAAATGCTATCTTATAAACAATTTCAGTACAAAAAGAATGGACAACCACTTGGGGGTTGCATTTTAATAATACTTGGTAATAAGGAACTAGAACATAAGATTCTGAATGTTGTTCATCAAATAAAAATATTACCAATTATTAAATTTTATTTATACAGATATCATAAATAACATCAAACTAAGGTGAGGTACCGTTGAGGCCCAGATCAATATTTATAAATATTAAAATGTTATTAATGAAAGTCAAATAATTATTACTTGTTATCACTTAATCTGGATGCACTTCCAAAAAACACCTAAATATTATTAATAAGTACACGAAACATAATGAAGCACAAAACCTATGAAGAGACTTCTGTAAAAGATTTTGCTGAATTCTAAATAATAAGTATTTTTTTAAATTTCATATGAATAACAATTTGTCTTTAAGAAGATATCGTGATATTGAGTAATTATTTTGTTAATATTACAATGGCTAACTTGTAAAAATGGCTAAACATTATTATTAAGTACACAAGGAGAGTAATTCCATAAAAATTTCGCTAAATTCGTTTTTATGTAAATTACAATTTGTTTTCAGGAAGACAACGAGTAATTATTTTGTTAATATTACAATGGCTGTTCATATTATATTGCATCAAATATAATAACCTATTTGAAAGGGTCTAATCAACGTCTATCCTTAACAATGACTTACTTCTAAAAATGCCTAAATATTCAATAATCATAAACCTGATGACTTATGAAGAGTATTCCCGTAAAAGATTTCGCTGAATTCAAGTTAGCAAGTTCTTTTTTAAATTTTCATATGAATCATCGAATAATTATTTTGTTAATATTACTGTGGCTCACTTCTATAAATTCCTTAATATTATTAATAAGCACACAAATCATAAACCTGATGACCTTTGAAGAGACTTCTGTAAAAAATTTAGCTGAATTCTAGATAGCACTTTTAAATTTTTTTATATAAATTGCCATTTGGTTTAGGAAGACAACGAGTAATTATTTTGTTATTTTCACAATGGCTTTTAGAATGAAATCCA